TTTTTTGCCCCTTATTTCTATTCGAGACGCGGAGCGTTGCAGTACTACACAACTGGTGTAGCAAAGCACTTCTGATATAGTGATACATAAAAAAAAGGAAAAGAAGTGCACATCAAGAGATCAACAAAATAAACAAAGAATACAATATCTTTGACATAATAGTGAATTTCTAAGGTGTTTTAGATTTTATGTATATAGAAAAAATGATTTTAAAAAATGTAAGTTACTGAACAAGTTCGTTTATTAGTTTGATGCTTTTGTACTACGATAAGTGGTTTTCTATATTATTATTCCAAGAATTACACATTTTTGTTGTAACTCTATACATGTGTCCTTAAGCTTTTCACATGATGATATTTTGTTTCAATGAAAAAAACAATCAACGATCCTGGATAGAAAGAAGCATCATAAAATACGAAACCGACATACTTATGAGCTGAAACAAAAAACAAAACCTTGTTCCAGAAAACCTCGATCTAAATAAACGAATGATGATATGATTTCGTTTAGAAACTTTGAGATACATTGGCGAATCCTTCCAACGATGGAGCGAACAAACCACCAATGGAAATTACGCAATGTCGCGTTGTTCTTTGCATTACAATCCATAACAGTTTTTGCACTTTCAACGACGCAGTGTACCATTGTGTGTTGTACCTACAAGACATGCGTATATGAGAAAATTTCACTGCCTAGGAAATTTATTTTGATCCGCAACGTGTACACAACTTACATTCTATGACACATTTCATTGCCCTGGTCGATTAAATACTGTCCTATATAGTTACAGAAAATCATGTACCATATGTGTCCGAGAACGAAAACAAGACTGGTGATCAAGTCGTAATATTTGTCAGATTTCAGAAGAACAGAAAACTGCCATACATAAAACCATACATAAACGATCAATATATTTTTGCACAAAACTAAGCAGAGTCGTCGTGTAAACACTGCGTTTCGACATAATATGACCAAAAAATCCATTGCTTGACGAATTACTGTGATTCAGTCAATAATTACTCACACGATAAAGATTGATACTCATCGAAATAACTCCCAACGGTAACAACACCATATATGCTAAGTTAAAGTTAGACGCCAACATTTCGACGAACCTTAAGGAACGATAGATATAAATAATTTTGTTAATATTTCAATACTTTGTTTCATCAGACCTTTGATACTCAATTTGAATAA